TTACAATCATGAGTTTCTTGATTGTTTCTTCTTGTAATTGTCTTCAGTGATAGTGACAAATATCTTGACTTGAGTTGAACTTTCACTTCATTCCCACCTCTGTCAATGAAATTGTCAGAATATCACACATCATCAGTGCAACATAGACTGGCCGCCGGGACCATGAATTTCACGTTTGGTCCCATTTGGTCTGATCTCATACATTTCTTGGCGTGAATCCCGCTGGGACTGGCTATCAAAAAAACATGTAAAGTGACTATATATCAGATCTTAAAATGGAACCATGACTTGAAAAAAATGAGAAAGTGGTTTCATTTGGTCTCATTTAGTCCCATTCTTGGCATAAAGTTACTACTTTTAGACATTTTAAGGTTTTTTTTAGACTATTTTTAATTTTTTAAAAAGTAACGCTTTTTGGTAACACTCAAATGAGATTTAAAGTCATTTAAAGCAATAAAAATAATTTAAATTGAGAAGTGGAAATCATGGTCTCATTTGAAAAATGTGACAAGAGTAGACAGTAAGTCTCACTGAGACAGTATGGAACTACTATTTAATGTTAAAACTGTGTAATGAGATCAGTCGAATTGGTAATGAAACTATCAAAAAATCTGGTCCTGGTCCCAGACACAGTCACACGGTCAGTCTAGTGCAACAGTTGAATATATACTCTCAACAATTTTTCATAACTCTAGAATTGATTTAGTGTGTAAATTCATCAGATTATCTTGAAGATAGTGATCAAATTCAGTTTTACAAGTATATAGTTTTGTCTGATTTTCAGTTGCAATCAATGTATACAAGTTCTGTTTCAAAGTTAGTATTATAGTTCTATATGATATGAAGTATTATCAAAGATCATTACTTACTAGGGAATTGTATTTCACTGTCTTCACATCTTGAACATCTGCTCATTCAAATCTCTGATAGTTGGCATTGTAGTAGTCTCAGACTAATTTGACATATGAGTCTTATTTCTCCTCTGTTCAATCTTAAGAAGTGTAGATGTTAACTCAACAGAAGAGATCTAGTAGAGCTGCTACAGCATAGTACTCTGCAAAAGATTGTTTCATTTTGCTGTAGTAATATGCCAGTTTATTTCTTACAGTAACAATAGTCTGTGCTATAGCATCATCCCAGACTGAATTTCTTTTTGAGTGATTCAACTACTTCTCAAGATGAGTAAATAAACTGTTATACACTCACCAGACTGACTGCAGCATTGGTGTATAAGTGATTGAGACTGTCTTTATTATCTTATAAAACTGAAACAGTAAATCAATCACATATTTCAACTGAGTTCACTTCATATCAGAAAGTTTCAATATCTGAATCTTTTCCTGATCAGAGTGTTGCACTCAATGATTAATTGTCTGACACAATTGAAGAGTCTGAACAGTTATCTTATATATTGAACTTCACTGTGTTCTAATATTCTGTATCATATTCAGTGATGTGACTGATTTGTTTATTTATTGAATATCATAGAATTGTTGTTATTGTTTAGAAGAGATACAAATCACATTAACAATGTTTTAAATCTATGATATTTAAATTATTAGTCAATCTATTCAAAATTAACAGTAGCATTATCAAAAAGTGTTATCAAAAAGCAATATTAAAAAGTGTTATCAAAAAACATTATCTTTTGCAAAGTGAATGCAAAAGTTACTTGAGTAATCACTTTCATCTCATTCTCATCTCAAGAATCAGTCATCTCATTATTCTTTGTCTCAATGTTAAGATTCTTTATCAGTGTTTATATCACAAGTTGAACCACATAAGCAATGCAGAAAATATGACCTTGTTTATCATTTCAGAAATACAAAGTCAATTTTTGCTTCAAGCTCTTCATCATAGTGTAGTTATTTGCAGCATTGTCAGTTGTAATTGTAAGAAGACTGAGACTAATATCTCAATAGTTATTTTTAATCACAGTTATTAATATCTCTGCCATATAATCTTCAGTATGACTACTGATCAATGATTCAAATTCAATTAATGTCTCTCAATAAGTTCAGTTCTCATCAATGTAATAACATGTAACTCTTATAAATGCAAGATTGTTTGTACTAGTTCATGTATTCACTGTGAGAGATACTCTTTGATGATTCTTCAACTCTGATTCTAGATATTATATATTGACTTTGTAGTGTATCTTGAGATTGAACTGAAGACAGAATCAATGTGAAATATGAAGATTTGAATTAAGCATTTGAAGAAGTGTTCAGAATTCAGGATTTTTAATTGATTGAAGAGAAAGATTCAGAGATATATATATATAAAGTAATTATTCACAGAAGTTATCAGATAAGAGTTATGAAATCAGAGTACTGATATAGAGTCATTTTTACATGATTTTCTTCAAATTAGAAAGTTAGTGTTATTAAAAATCATTATCTGATAGAGTAACTTACCAGCTTAGTAGTAATTTTCTGATTATTTTTCTTTTATTATCTGCATTCTGATGACTTCAGATGTCAGAAAATTTCTTCAGAGCTATAATCAGTTCATGATGAATGTTTCTGAATGAAGTTACAGTGATTGTAGCAGAGAGATGACTCTTCAGTAATCTGTAATACAATCTATTGATAATTATTTCATAGTTTATCTTGATATTTGTATTGAGTTTTTCATAAATTTCATGACCTGAAATCAGATATGAAGAATGAAGTGATTATTCATTATAATTGAAAGAGAGCATTCTATGTTGAATTGTAAATAATATAGACTTTGTGATTTACAGTGATTTCTTAAAGAGTTTGTGAATCTTCAATAGAAGTAAAAGAAGTGAAAGAAGTGAATTCAGAAGATATAATAATAATTTAAGAAAGATAATAATTTATTTTCAATAACTGATCACTGATGTGTATAAGAAGAATTAATATAAGAGAAAATAATCTTGTTTCTTAGCTTAGTTATAATTTTAGTACTAACTCAGATTGAATATTATTGATGTATAAAAGTAAATAAACAATCTTAATTAATCTCTGTCATATTTCTTGAAATATATTAATATTATGAAAAAGAGTGTTACTAAATTGCATTATCAGATAATATCATTAAAAATATATTAATATTGTAAATATCAATGTTGAAAAAATGTTGATACTTATATATTATAGTGATTTGTGAATCATGATAGTTAAATATATATATATATATATATATATTGTTCCTGACTTGATTACAACTTGTACAATAATTTTTAAAAACTCAAAATTAATTTCAATTATTAATAATTATGAACTTATAACTAACTAATATAAAAAGAAAAAAACTTTTTCTACTTATTATCTTTCTTCTCTTTCTCATTCTTCTTATCATTCTTTACAATTCACTTCTCATTCTTCTTCTCCTTCTTCTTCTTCTTATCTGAGATGATAATCATCTCAAAATCTCTCTTCACTGCCTTTTCAGAGAAGGGTTTCTGCTGCTTCTTCTCAGCCAGGTCAATCTGTGTCTCAAAATCCCACATTTTCTGGTCTGCTGTCTCAGGTTCCACCTCAGCAGCAAGCAGATTGACATGCTCAGAGAGCAGGGCTGCCTTCTCAATATCCTGAATTATGAAGTGCATTTGAGACCTGAATAAGACCTCAATCCCCTTCTTCTCTGTCAGCTCCTGCTAATCAATTAGAGAACAGAAGTGTTATTAAAAATCATTATCTCTTAATAAATAAAAAACTTATCAGTTTTGACTTCTTTATCTCTCACTTTAATACCTTCTCAATCTTCTTCTGCTGCTGCTTATTTATAGTAATACTCTTCTTCTCTCTTTCTCTCTTCATCTTAGTCTCAAATCATTCTCAGAACTTCTTCTGATTTCATCACTGCTGTATGAGACTCTTCACTGTCTTCTTCTTCAATCTCTCACAGGCAGTGTCATTCACATTATTTCTATACTTAGTTCAGTCTAAATCTATCAGAAGTATTACTTAAAATCATTATCATTCTACTCTCTTATGAAGCCTCTTCAAGACATTATAATGTGCCTTGTGATCTGTCTTCTCTTACTTAAATGTCTTCTTCTTCTCTTTCTTCAATCTGTGATAGTGCTCACATGCCTTGATGATCTGCAGAACCGCAGAATATTTGAAGAAGAATGACATGATTGGTTTCAGTGAGTATTAAAGAGAGATAAAGACAGAAGAGATGACTAGAAATGATATAATAATAATAATAATGATGATGATGATGATGATGATGATAATAATGATAATAATAATAATAATAGTAATAATGATAATAATGATAATAATGATGATGATGATGATGAAAGAAGAAGTGCATTGAAATATATTACTGACTTATTAAATATAAAGAGACTCAAAGAAAATATTAACAGCTTTCAGCAATATACAGAAACAGCTACAGTGTTACATAGCAATATCATCTTCATTCAATGCATGCACTGTTGATATTCTTTATATACAGTTATCATATAATCTGTATCAGAGATACATGCAGAAAACAGATCTTTGTTACTAGAATAAATGATTGCAGCAATTCTCTGTTTTTATATCATAAAGATAAGTTATTCTCATTTCTTTCTTCTCTCTTTTCTCTTCTTCAATCAATCACTAATTTCAAGCTGATATGAAAACTATTAAAACACTCTCAGAAACCCTCAAATTAAAGAGTATAGACTAATCAAATTTCAAATACAGAAGAAATTAAATTATCTTCTACAGATTTAATTATTCATTCTCTCTTAAATAAAACAGCAGTTACATTCCCTCTCTTCCTCAATCAAATGAAACATGGCCTGTGAAAAGTGAGTATCACATCAGGTTATAATGACTAACACAGCCTCAGTATGCAGGACTGCATATGCGCAGCATGTGCTGAACTGAGAGACTGTATGAGTTACAAACTGGCAGCAGTATCTCAGAGAGAGCTGTGCAGTGTAAGAAAGTCACAACTCTCAGTTATATATGCAGAGAATGAATTGTCATAGTAAGTGCATGTGTATTGAAGTAACACTTTTTAATAATACTCAGTCTCTGATATAATGAAAATAGAGTCTCTCTGTGAGATCTGTTTCTATCAGAAGTCAGAGAATCTTATATTTCTCAAGATCATCTTCACACACCTTGTCTGTGAAATTGATGAGAGAAATTATCAATTCCAGTGTTCTGTTCTTGATGTTATTCAAGTGATAGCAGAGTTCACTCTGATCACACTTTTTAAGTATATGTTTTCTAATTATTCACATTTATATAGATATATACTGATTATTTATTAGATGATGTTAAGACAATGACTCATTACAGCTGTGTTATTCTCACTATGAGAGATACACAGTTAATGATGAATATTGTGAAAACTCTGAGAAGTGAGTATTTTAAGAATACTGCAGCTCTGTAATCTTGATTTTTTTTTATTTTTATTTTTTATTTTTTTCTTTTTCTTTTCTTTTTTTTTTTTGTTTTTCTTTCTCTTTCTGTCTCTTTTTTTCTTTCTCTTCTTTTTTTTTTTTCTTTTGTTGTGATTTTTTCTTGTTTTATTTTTTGTTTTTTTGTTATTTTTTGTATTTTACATTTTTTTTTTAATTAAAATGATATTAATTATGATCTGTGTTTAGAAAAGTAATAATATTTGATAATACTCTCTGTTGAATTTTCAACAAATGAGCACTATGTTATGATATTATGTAAGTGAGAAATGATTTCATAGTCTCATTTAATACCATTTTCAATAATGAGATCAGAATGAAAATGTGACTAAGAATTCAAATATATTCTTTATCTGAGACTAGATTTTTATTTGAAAAGTGAATCTGAAATCTTTAATATTTGAAATAACAGGATTTGAGATCAATGTGATGAACACAAATCATGACCAGAAGTAATACTTTTAGGCAATGTGACAACTGTAAAGTTTGATCCTGGTCTCAGACACGGTCACATGGTCAGTCTATCTGCTTGTATATAAGTATAATAAAAGAATAATAATATTAATAATTATTTTTAGACTAGCTGATAAGACTATAAATTTTATATTTAATCTCATTTAATCTAATCTTATACATCTCTTAGTATGAATCTCACTAAGACTAATTATTAAAAAAATATACAAAGTAACTATTTATCAGATTTTAAAATAAGACTATAACTTAGAAAAAATAAGAAACTGATCTTATTTAATTTCATTTAGTCTCATTCTTAGTATAAAGTTACTATTTTTACACATTTTAAGATGTTTTTTAGACTATTTTTAATTTTTTAAAAAGTAATGATTTTTAATAACACTTAAATAAGATTTAAAGTTATTTAAAGTAATAAAATGAACTTAAATTGAGAAGTGAAAATGATAATCTTATTTTAGAAATGTAATAAGAGTAGATAGTGAGTCTTACTGTGTGACGGGCTGCGCCCGATCAATCATATAGACTATTTCATTACACTTCATAGATTCTTCCATTCCCGATCACTGATCCGCGGCCGCTACGAACGCGCGTAGCGTACGCTCCGATTCTCGGCCATTCCCGATCACCAATCCTCAGCTGCTATGAACACGTGTATATTCTTCTGCCCCGAAGCTCCACCATGTACATCATCATATACATGTATAAATATTCATCTCAATCACTGATTCTCACACTTTCTCTTTCTTTTCTTCTTTAATGTTTTTATCTTTATTATATAAGACCTATCAATATAATACTGATCTATTCAGCATAGGCCTCTTATACTATAAAAACATTCATTATCTTCTTATTAGAAATGATTATTCATTAAGAGATACCTGAACATGTAACAATATATAAGAAATAGAGAAATAGTTAAACAGTTAAACAGATATTAAGTTCTTAGATAGAAGCTTACTTATCAGTCACTCTGACTCTGTAACAAGATCTTATAAAGAGAATAAGATCTTATAAGAGAATATCAGTGAAAGATCTGAGAGTTCTGATACTCAGATGTATGAGAATATAATTACACTTCTTCAGATTTCACAGATATCATACATTCAATGATTGATATAATCATGTCTAATAATAATATAAAACTCTTGAACACAAGCATAGACATGATGTCACAGTGACTTCAAGTAATGTTGAAATTACAACAGTAACAGATAGCAGATATGTATACAACTCAACAACTTCAATACAAAGAGATTCAATAATTAACTCATACAATTTCAACATCTACAGAATCAAATATAAAAGTACTGAAAGAACACTTAGATGCTCTTATATATTTCAATACTTCTAATCTCACTCTCTACTCATCATGAAGAATGGAAATACTTACAAAACTGAGTATAGATGAAGATTTCATCAGTTTATTAATTAATCAAGATTAATATATCAATGAATGATTGAAGAATTATATAAAATAGAAGTTTCATTCATAAATGAAAGCATGTGAATCAGCATTGTGAATATCTGATAATATCATGAGATATCTTGATATTCTGTTTCAAGACACTGTCATGCAATAGAAAGTATTAAATTAATTACAGAGTATTTAATAGAGAAATACTTCTCTTACAATATTCATCTCTGACTTCAATATCAAGATTCTAGAAGCAGATGATCAATCTTGAAAGAATTGAATAAAGATTAGTATGCTTAAGAAGATATTAACTTTCAAACTCTTACAGACTCTTGTAAGTGTAGATGAAGATCAGACTTATGAAGACTTTTACACACAGCTCTGAACATTGAATGACTGTCTTATCAAGCTTAAGAGTATACAGAACAGTGATAGAAGATGTTACATCTCAGTCACTTATATATCTGTATTAAAGAATAACAATGATGCAGATACTATAAACTGAATAGATTCAAATGTCTATACATAAGTAAGAGTTTCTGTCATTCAAACAGGCTTCTGAGTCTCTGAGATTACTTCTGAAGAAGTCATCAATCAATGTTAATATAAAGTATATATCAACTGTAACTGATCAGAATACATTGCTTTCAACTGCTGATTAATCTATGTACCTTCATACTCAAGAGAAAGAGCAGTGTCTTCTTGTTTAAAGAATGAATCAGCATCTGTTCATATCAATCACATTATATTAGAGAAAGATTCAGAGAATAACTATAAGAATATCTCAGTGAAATAGAGAAAACATTAGCTTCTATTCAAATTTATAAACAGAAGCTTGAAGAGGTTGAATAATAATAATTTAAAGAGAAGATGATAATAAATGTGATTCTTGTATCTACTATGATTGATAATATGTATAATATGAAAGTCATGATAGATAGCAGTCTATACTACTATACAATGATAAAATCTTCAGTTGTAAGATATTATAATCTTCAGTATATTTCTTTATCTAACTCTCAACTCCTCACAGAATTTGATAATCTGAAAGATGTTTGTACTTATTATATAATAAAGCTGATCATAGATGTGAGAGGACATCAATGTGAAGATATCTATATATATAAAGTTGATAATCTTGATTACAATCTTATATTAGAACTTGTCTGACTATCTGAACAAGGTATCTTATTAAATACTTGAAACAGAAGCTTGATATTCTCTAACAATAATAGAGTTCACAAAGATGACATTCACAAGATTATGAATCTGACACAGATCTCTGTCAATACATATAATATACTCTGAAAAAGAAGTCATCATTAAAATTACTGACAGAGTCATTAATAAGTTCACTGATAATAGAATTATATATCAATCTATTTCATCAGTCTGATCAATATTAAAAAGGCTCTAGAAAAGTTATTCTGTATTATAATAACAGATTCTTATACAAAACTTTCTCAATAATATCATGAATATCTAGATATCTTCTGATAAGATAATATTATAAATATATCTCTCTTATAAGATTCTGAAGTGAATCACAGTATCAAGTTAGAGAAAAAGAATGATAAGAACTTCAAATTATCATGAGATTCTCTTTATAACATGTTCTGAGATGAACTTCTTCTTCTTCAAAAGACACTCAATGATCTATTGAATAAAGAATTTATATATATTAGTAACTCTTCCACTGCAGCCTCTATTCTCTTTGTAAAGAAATCAGATGAAGAACTCTGATTCTGTGTGAACTACTGAGATCTGAACAGATTGACAAAGAAAGATTGATATCTCTTATCTCTCATCAATGAAACTCTAGCATGAATTGAGTGAGCTCAATAATTTATAATACTAAATGTCATCACTGTATTTTATAAGATTTGTTATTATTATTATTATTCTTCAATTATAGATGTATGCAGTCAGAGACTATGACATCTACCTGAGAACTTTTAGTTCTCAGGGTTTTTCCTATATCTGTAAAGTTAACTATTATACATTCATCAATTTCAGATATGCAAAATCAGAAAATTCCAGCCCAGAATACAAAAACTGTTTACAAATTGCAGTGTTTTAACATCTTCTGATACTTTGAAACCATTTGACAATATCATGACAAAGGAAAAGAGAAAGAGAACACTGTCTTAAAGATAGACACATTAAATAGATAGATAGAAAGAAATTGAAAGAAAAAGATAAAGTAAAGAGAGACTGTAACAAAACAAATTATTAAAAGATAGTGTATAGCTGTTTTAACAGACTATATCTGATTGATTTCCCCCTCTTCATATTCAGATAATTCTGAATTTAGCCATTTTCTTGTAGCTGCTTGAGTTTCTGATAGAAAGTCTATTAAGTATTTAATTCCTGTCTCAGTTGAGAATAAGAATCTCATATTTAATTGATTTAGATCATACTTCTCTTTCAATCTGGCTCTGAGATTATTGTATAATGCACAGTGTATTACAATATACTCAGAATTCTCATTTGCATTGCAGAATGAGCATTCTATTGAGTCAAATCTATCATCAAATCTTTGTATATAAGATTTGAAATAGCCATGTCCTAGTTTCAGCTGTATTATAGATGAGAATATTTTCTTTTTATATTTAATTGAACAAGATTTTCACTTGGGTTTTATTTCAAATCTTGAATAATGTATACTCTTCTTTTGTTTCTGCCAGCTTTCATTTCACTTATCTAAACAAGATTCTTTTATTTTTCTCTTTATAAAAGACCAGGACACAATTTTTTGAATAGATCTGCTTAATTCTGCACCCTTTTTTGCAGCTGAATCAGCCAATTCATTACCATGTATATTCATATGAGCAGGAACTCAGTGCAGATGAATTATCAGCTTTGATATTCTTCTCTTTTGAATTTTCAAAACAGAGTTTAAGATCAGTTCAA